AGTGTCAGCGTTTGTCTCGCTGAATGTTGGACCATTGGGGGTGGGCAAGTCTATAACCTTAGATACCATGGCAGTGGAGGCCGTCCACAAGAACATCCAAGGGCTTTTTCACAAAGGAAGCCTAGAAGGTGAGCTTGGTAAAATGCCTTTTTAAAAAATCACTTTTTTATTTTATTAGTAAGATGTCCTTTATATTCCTCACAGACTGCAAAAGGGTGGCCCAGTGGGGATAAAAAAAATCTCTAGCCAGAAATGGCTTGTCCAAGGGAACTCATACAAACAGTTCAGCTCCTTCCCTTGGCAAGATGTCAGGTTGGGCACATCCTGGTCATCGGAGTAACTCCCTGGTGAGCCACCACCGCTGGCTGAGTCATGGCTGGTCCTCAAGGCAGCCCAGGTGCCCATCACGCGCAAAGCCGAAGCCCAGAGTCAGTCACAGGAAACCATGCACCCTGCACCCCGAGGTCAATGAGAACAGTGGAGCCAGCGGAAGGCAATTTTATTAACGGCAAACGCATGCAGTCTGCTCTCTGAGTTCACCTTTCTCCTCTCCATCTCCCCTCAGTCTCCGCTCCACTTCCAAGAGGAAAGAGGAAGAAGTGAAAAGCTGGCTCCTCTTCATGGAAAGTGACCAGGAAACCAGAGACCCAGGGCAGCCCCCAGCAATCAAGAATACCCACAGACCTTCACCAGGTCCCCGACTTTCTAGGTGGTTTCTGGTTTGTTTGACTCCTTTTCCATCCCCAGGGACTTCCCCTTAGACTTTCCACTGTGCCTTTCCCATCACCGGCCCTGTGGGGCAACTGCAGGCTCTCAGATCACTGTCATCAGTCTTGTACACTCAGGTCCCCAAAACAGGGGAGGGCACCCAGAAGATGCTGTTCTGGGAGGAGACGGGAGGAGGTGGGAGAATAGCTTTTCCAGGAGCATAACCTTGATGTGCAATCAGCTATAACGACGACCCCCGAGGTGAGAACAACTTTCCCTCTCCCATCTCTGGCTCGGAGGGTGTAGCTGGAGCTTGATAAATGAGACACAATTAATTGGAGCTGTAAAAGCAGCAGGGAGGGGACCCAATGCCTCCTCTCAGAAGACAAACAGGAAAATCACATGCCACAGAAATCTCTGTACACAGAAACGGCATCATAAACTACCCCCCCAGCACCTGGGGGAGCCTCAGCCTCTGGGAGCGAGGCTCACAGGCTGGTGGTTAACAGTCAAGAT